TCCATGTTCTTTCCTGCAATTTCCTTTTCTTTTCAAGTAACTTGGTATAAAACTGCACTTCTATAAAAGCTGTTTACACAGCATTCTGAAACATGGAGATTTGAAGGTCATTTCTATTTGCCAGCATTGAAGAACCTCCTTCTCTCACCCTAATCAATAAAAAGCATTTAATTGTTAGCTGCAACTATCTCACAAAAACAACAGTTTACGTAAATAAACAGAAAAGTGTTATTATAAACAAAGACAGAAATTTATGCGTCAAGAATGCCACAATGACTTCAACATAGATAGATCCCCATACCTCAGCTCCAGGCAATGAAAAAACTCACATTTAAAATCAGATATATGCTTAAGCACATTACATGGATCATTCTTTCTCAAAAAAGAATTTGATAACTGTTTTTCCTTATGTCATTCAGACCAATAGGTGTTCCCAGTTGTATGGCTATAATAAGAGAAAAACACCTGTAATTCCTAAAATGTAATTTTTAAAAAACATATTCTTAATGGGTTAGATAGTACTAAGCACCAAAGTCTACTTTCAAAAAAAATAAGGAACACTTAAAGAGGTTGCATGCTGTCTTTTGCTGCTGTCTCTGATAAGAATAGGACCTAAATGAAGGATTCTTTTAACAGTCTGTTTTAAAAACAAAATATAAACACATCATAGCTGAAAACGCCTATAATTTCTTTCATGGCCTGCAGACAGATGAGTAACACAGAAGAGAAGCAGGAGTCTAGAGGCAAGATTTTGTTTTCTTTTGTTACTAAAATTTAAAAACAAACCTGGCTCAAAAATGGGCATAAAATCTTTTCTTAAGAAAAAACTTGAGAGAGACCACCAGAAAGAAAACACAGACACCCTCTCTACAACTCTGCCTCTGGGTTTACGATGATAGAGCCATTTTTAATGGCCAAAAGAGATGCTGCGCATCTGAACGTCAGAAGTAGGAGACCGATGATGACTGTCTAGTCTATGACCAACCATATCAGCACTGTATAAACACCACAACATTTCAGTTCTACGAGAGATGAAATTAGAACACTTTAATTCATCTTCCAAAGCCTCCTTTGGTAGAAAAAAATACCAACATAAAAACCACTAAAGGACAGTTTACATTTTTCCTACAAGAGAACAGATTCAATCAAGTCACTGACCTCACCACGCTACTCGTAGTGCCCTCCATCTTTCCTCCCTTGTATCTCCACACATTCTGAAGTTTATTCTAGTTTTCTTTCAATGCATACTAAATAACGTTGTTCTAGTTTCTTTTTAAAACCAATTCAAATCAGTACCATTGTAAAGGAAGCTTTCCCAGAACAAAAACATCTCTAAAAGCCTCTCTCTATCACTATATTTTTCTTTCAAGTTCAGCTTATCAGCCTTCATTACCTCCCTCACAGTCTTGAGTCATTGTGGCAACTCATATGCGTGTAGAAAAGAAAAAGCAAAATGCCTGGAATTCTGAATAGCGTTCTCTGGTAAGCTCCTGTTGCTATAATTAGACAATCCCTTTTCTAAATCACAGATACAACTATCAATAGAGATAAAAATAAAAACTAGCACCAAATATATAGAGCAAGCCAAATCTAAATGTTTTGTTTCCTTCCCATCATCTCAAAACGTGCCCTGATTTAACCCTCAGAACTCAAAAACACCAGTTGTTTCCACGGTTGTCTTTGCATATAAAATACCTATATAAAATAAACAACAAAATCCAATCATCTTATTCACCTGTGACAAAATTAATAATGTATAAAAATAGGCTAAGTTATTATGTTTTCACTTTAAGCCAAAAAGAAACTATTTTAGAAGTAATGCAGATTCTAAATCACAAAGTAATTAACATGACCCTTCAAACCAGTATCATCAATTCCAGCACCTCAGAAAGACTGAAAACCTACAAACTTCAACCAAATTCACACTGCAGAGATCTTATTTGCTCCATTTGCTGACTTAAACTAGTAACGTCAACCGAAAACAAAAGATGAACGAGATCAGATGCTCATCTGTTTTACTCTGCTTAATTTTTTAATAAAATTACAGAACTAGGTAACAAGTTCATAAAATAGTCCTAAAAGATCCAAGGACTAGAACATGAAGCTTCTTAGTTCCCCTAAATATAGCAGCAGTCACATGCTATCACTAAGACCACATTAGCTTTTCTATGCTAGAATACCTCCTAACCCTTTCCCCCAAAAAATTTAGATTGTGCTATAAATACTCGGTCTTACACGAATGTAAGATCTCGGACCTAGACTGGCTTAAATAAAAACACACATCCATGTACACACACTAAAAAACCTCACTCCAACATCCCCCCAAAACTGAACAGTAGCACCTCAAAACTGCACCACTCAAAATCAAGAAAAAAATTATTTGTTGTTGTGTTCAACAGGAGTCTATGATCACCGAACAGGTGTTTATTAGTCCTTTCTTAAAAATAACTAACTGTATAAATAAATCTTATTTGCTTCTAGAAAGAATAATTTTTAAAAGCAGTTGAATCTTAAGTTGATGAACAGTTCTCAGGAGTAATTTTGCAATTTGTAAATGCAGACATAACCAGTTCGTTCCATTCCAAGACCAGTTCCAATAATTTCAGATTGCACTCCTCATAACAATAAATCAAACTTGTGGATGCTTGGCATAAACACACAAAGCATCTTTCCGACATCCACCAGTAAATACATCGTGCACCAAGTTTTATTTCACTGATGGGAAAAAATAAATTAATACACACTATTTTATATGGTACACCTTCAAAACTAAGAGTGCTTCACATACAGTAGCTTTCAGGATTCCCTGGTGTAAAAC